GTTCAATTAACGTTAAATGCTGATGTTATAAAGATGATTATGATGTAACGTTTGCTAAACGTAGGTATTTAGACGTTACATAGAAACGTTCTTGAAGGCGGACATTAGCAGTCGCGGTGACGTTAATAGTAAGTTAATGGTACTTATACGCTAACGTTACAAGTCACCATTAAACGTTTATTAAACGCTAATGTTGCACAATTTTGTCATGTGGGTGTTAACTTCTATCTTCAGGAGAATATGCAATCCAGTTTTGTAGTAAAGCTGTGGGAGCTGATAAGTAAGGAAAAACCTAGCAATAGTGTTATTTATACAACCAGAGAAGAAAGAAGAGTTTTTTTCTCAAGTTTTACACATAATTTTTTCTGAAACTACAATCAAAATTGTAAAATTATCGTATGGGATGATGAAGTTTGACACACAGCAATCTAGATACGGGTATGTTCCAATTTTAAATGTCATTATTAAGATTAACGCAGCAATAGTTTGTTACTTTCCACACTAGAGAGGAAAATCACATTTTCTTCACCCTTTTTAGAAACGAAAGTTGTTTTTAAAGTAGTTTCAGAAAAAAATATTTTTTCTTCCACTTGCTTCAATTTCAAATTTCTAGTGGGTTGAAATTTCGACTGTCATTTGTCGTTTTGATCGGACATTTGTAACGATTCAACAAACTTTCACAAGGAAAGGAAGTGATTTTCATTTTAAAATTTTGCTTTATACAGAGTATTACTCCACAGAATTGAATAAAATAACAGCGCTAGGCTCTGTAATTTTCACAAAAATAAAAGGTAATAGGGGTTGAAAGATTAACATGTAAAATCCTATGGTCTTAAAAAAACTTACTGTATAACTTAAATTGAATTATTCCATTGTATCATACGATTTTTCGTGTTCGAGTTACCCGACGTACCAAATTTGTATAGATAATTACCTCGCATTTATATGCCCCGCTATCACTCCCTCTCTGCTGCGTTGTGTTTTATCATTGCAGCTGATTTAACCCGTTCATTTTCTTTACCCTTTTAGCGTTATCAAAAAACCGAACAAGGATATTTTAGTCTACCTTGTTTCCCCTCGGTAAATATTTTCTCTCTTTTTAGCGCATTTCCACAAAAATAAAAAAAAATGCGCTATTGTGGCCACTTTATCCGTCCGTCCGTCCGGCCGCTCGTTTTGAGACGCTACTAGTTTTTTATCTTAAGAGCTATTGTTCTACTTTTTTCGCTATTTGCTTCGTTATGGTGTCGAGTCTTGCACCAAGGAAGGAATTTTTTCTGTACCGCTTACAAAAAAAGTTATTGGAAAAAAAATAAAAAACCGTTTTTTACATGTTCCATCATTTTACACTTTTGCAGTTTATTAACGATCCTAGAGATCGTTTTTAATGCATTGCTGTCTGTCGTCTGCCTGTTGGTCTGTTCGTTTGTCTGTCTGTCCCTCTATCTGTCCGTGTGAACGATAACTTTGGTTAGAAATGTCTGATCGCTACACCTCCGTTAGTTATGAACTGAATTGCTTGAAATTCAATATGGGCATAGCTTTAGCCATATAATACGCAATGTCAAAAGTTGAGTGGAATCAATTTAAAATTCACAGTGCCGTTTTCGCATCTCGACCATTTATAAACCGAATTGCAAACTTTTTTAATTATAAAAGTAGGTATTTAAATGAAATTCGATACATAGCCACTTGGAACAAAGGAAAATCTAACGTTAACTTCAAAATTTAGGTTTACGCATGCAACTCTTCTTATAAACTGAAATTGAAGTAGCACGTCAAAAATGGATTGCCCATGTGCAACGCTATCTTTCATATTTGTGGCCGGATTTTTACAATTTTAACAAAAGTTGCATCTTACAAATAGGAAATGAATGCAAGTGGAAATGCGCTTTATGTAAATCGTTTAAATCGTTTACGATTACTTTTTAACTTGTTTGATTTTCTATAAGACAGTGGCGCTCATCCGGTTTACTCATTTATTTTTGCTTTTTTGACTAGCCGTAGAAGAGAACCCCTTAACCACCTCGTTCCACTTCTACTTTGCGTGAGCTTACCGTGCTTAACTAAAGGTAATTTTCTTATCAAAATGCATGTAACAGGCCTATAAAATCGAATGAAAAGGAATTTGTCAGAGATCGATCAGGGGAAAATTTCCAGCAGATTTGAGCAGAACTCTCCAAAAATTTGTAATTAAATGGTCAGTTTTAACCAGTCGAACTCCTCTCTTCAACAAGCTGGCTCGTTATCAGCCTCTTTCTGCATTGTTCCATCAAGTTTCATCAGTAAATCCCGTTTTGGAAAACATGGTCTCATTACCTATTCATATTTATCCACACGATTTAACATCTACATGCATTTAGATTTAACTACTGCGACTCATCCTATGGCCATCGGTGCTCCCTCCTTCAGTTCGCAATTATCGTTGCAATCAGAGGATCCACGACTCTTATGATGAAATTTAACACGGTATTATTGGCAGTTCAAGGCGTGGACTATCCGCGCTTGGTCTGTTTCGAACTTTCTGTAGGGGGACATAGAATTTACGTATGCTAGCAATAATATTTAATTATCCAGCCGAATCATACCCCCTATTTTAAACTCTCCTTTGAATTGAGCGACGAACTTATACATATTATATACATATACATATCCCACTTAAGTACAAGGCCCCATCGAAGTTGTTAAAACTTGCGAGTACGCATATTGTTTTGTATTAATTCACAATAAAGAACATCGAAACTTGTGCGAATTAATTTCTATTAGCTCTAACTTTCTAATTGTAGACTTGTCCCTTTCACTAAGTTGAATTATGCAAATTCTAATGTAATGCTAACTTAGGCAATTACAATACATTGTTCCGACAATAAATTCTTAATTTCATTTTTTTCCAGGTAAGAGCATATCGTTTCAAATCCACAGGGAAATAGCGTAGGTGAGTATAGTCATTTTTTATATACCCAATAACGTTGTGTTTGAGGTAGATTGATGTAAACACGAGGTAATTGGCAAACACTGAAACGTGATTACAATAACGACACACGCGCACACGGCATGCTACACATTACCCAAATGCGATATCAAATAGAACCGAAATTCAGTGGATTACAGATGCAGAAACATTACGGAAGACGTTCTACCCAATCTGCGCAAATATGCACTTCTCTACCAATTTGCATTATGCATAATTGCAGATTTAATATTAGCACCTTTTTTACTTATTGACGTTTGACTAGCGCGTGCTCGTTTGAAGGAGATGGGGGGTTTGTTACAGACTGACGTATAATCCCTGTTTCATTTTTCGTTTATTTCGTTACCTCGACGTGTTTACATCTTTCTAATCTTCCACACGGAGTAGGGCATTAAACCAGAAATAGAGAATTAAGGTCTTACGAATTCTGTGATGTTTCTTTACTTTTAGCGTCCTTAATCTCCCTTTGGAAGCTTTCGGGTCTTAGCAGGTTGATGAATTAGGTAATCAATAACTGAAGCACAAAAGATAACCTTAGCTTAGCGAGTGTCTTGTATATTTTATAATCGATAACATAGTCTCTTCAGTGCTTTTGGGATAAATACAATTCGTCTCACAAGCGTTTGGCCGGAACAAACACAAATTTGGTCGTTAACAAATCCCATTCAAACTGCGTTCAGCGTAAATAAACTTTGTAGGCCGTAAAGTACTGACACATTTGTATGACTTAAGGGCCTTATAAGTCCTTAATGATCACCAAATTCCGGAAGACTGAAGAAAGCTTTTGAAAGCTTGAAATCTTGAGTTTCTAAAAAACCGTAACAAACATAGCGTAAACCTAAAATCTCCTATCGAGTTATAAAATTTGTTAGGCTCTTAAAGACTAATAAAGATCTCAAAAGCTTTAAAACAATGTAGAAGAGGATTCTTTTTGGAATAGAAGGCTGTAACGATCTTAGGGGTCCTGGAACCGACCCTGCCTTTTGCCTTACTCTATAGGGGATTTACGATAATTCAACCGGTTTAACCGGGTTGGTAGATTTTGCTATGGTTACAATTATTGAGACAATTGTTTCTATGGTGATTTCTACCAACCCGGTTAAACCGGTTGAATTATCGTAAATCCCCATACTAACATAATATAAAGCAGAGTCATATAATTTTCATGTCAAAACGACCTTCATTGAACAAAAAACCTGGCACAACACACACAAATACAAGAAATAAATCTAGGACAAAACACATCGTGCAATAAAAGTTACTTCAACAAATTAATGACACAAAATTCATGTGGAATAATAAAAATAATACAAATGGTAGACAGATAAATTAATTTAGTGCAAAAATACATCAAACACATCTACGGTTCAATTTAGGCAAAATAAAGCCATTCGTAAAATGATAAATTGCATGTACATAAAAAACATCAAACTCCCTACTCCAGCATCGGTCACAATTAATTTAACACGAAAAGTACATGTGAAAATGCCGGAAGTATTCATATTAAACATACTAAACCGAAGAAAAGTTAATTATAGTCCCTTTTCTTTCTCGTATTGCTAAAATAAAAGTGCTGATGTACGCGCGAGATAAGGAAGCAACACGTTACAGTGAAGAATGGGAACTGTTGGGGCACTTCCTCCATGGAATAAACGGTTAGTCAAACCTACAGGGCAACATTACACTGATAATTTACTTCCATGTGAACACATAGATAAATACATAATGAAACAATACAAGGACATACCTGTACAGTGTACAGCATAGCAAACAAACATTATTCAGTAACGCACTCATAAAACAGACTTGGAGCACGCAATGCTTCTATAAACAAACATCAGCCTTTTATGCAAAATGTAAATAATAACAAATTGTAGCATGAAATTCAATGGTTGATGGTTAGTACAAGAAAGAATAAAATGATTACTACCTGTAACTACACTTTCAAAACTGAACAAACAAAATATATATTGCGTAGCCCGGTAAGTGTGGTTCGGAAGCCGAGTCATCGATACTAATTTTTTTCCAGGATTCGTCGCGAAAATACCCGTCCCGGATGCTGCACAGAACGGCCAAGTCGAAGACTTTTCACGATTTAAGTATATACAGAACGTTTCGTATTTGGGGTACATGACGTTGCACCGCTCCCTAGCTAAGATCAGATGGATAAAAAAAGATTAGCGTTAGAAGGTACATTAATTAAGTCCTAATTTGTCACATTCTTAGTAAACTTACTTTCATCGAAATGCGCGGTTATATTACTTCATATTTCCTCATTCGTAATGGTTTAAGTTGGCAAAACTAAAAAACCTAATGAGTTTCAGTCCAAGTGACAGCTTAATTTTTTTGTAAAAGGTTAGGCCATATTAACAGTTAATGTAATAAAAGTAGTATAATAAGACAGAATTGTAGGTTTACTTCGACATATACACGAAATAAGCGACACTTCCATGTGGCAACACTATAATAAAACCACTTAATCTAAACATCAACGCCTTAGAAACGGAGAACGTACTAGCTAGAGGATGTAGACCGCCTTGTACATCCGAGGTGCTCCCCGCACTTCTCGCGTTTTCCCCGGGCCGCCTTTTTCGCATCAAGCGCCGTGTTCACCCGAGAAGGAACAGGAGACCTCCCGCATCTTCCATGGGCCGCCTTTTCCGCATCGACCACCTTTCCGGTATCGACCGCCGTGTACACCCGAAAGGAGAAAGAGCACCTTTCGCATCGTACATGGGCCGCCTTTGGGCATCGGCCGCTTTTTCCGTATCCGCCGCCTTAATGGTGGAATTTTGTTGCAACGTCCAGCTTTTGCAACCCGACGCAACCTTCACAATGGTACAATGCTCGCCTGGAAGATGCAGCGGCCAGATGTAGGCTGTCACATCGCGGCGATTCGAATAAACACACAATTATTGGATTAACAATACTAAAAATTTATTCGGAAACATAAAACAATTAAAACAAAATCCCTATAAGAAGGAAAAGCTTGCACAGCTTGTTTTTGGACATAAGACATAACATTTAACGTAAACACAAATACACGCTCTTTACCGTCGCGGATTCCAGTATTTACGGAAACGCCACTTTCACTATCAAATGAATTTTCAAACCAATCGCCGACCACAATCAGACTTGATAACGCCAGATTCAACAGGACGCGACCCCATTTACGCCGAAATAACACGAAATTGTTCGAAAGACCATATCTCTTCTAACAGCGGTAAGAACACGTGCGTTAATTAAATTTCGTCCGACAGCAACTCAAGATGTCCCTAAATTTTAACGAGCAATTCCACGTTTTTACAATTGAATACACAAATACAAATAAACAATTTGCAAAAGCTATCAAATTTCAACAAGAATTGCGTAATTCCCAAAAATTCCAAAGGGATACAGAGCCATAAAAAGAAAGTCGTGTGATTATTGGACGCACAAGAGGACGTTTTGTCATCAATGCGTATTCCTTCTTTGAGTCTGGTTGCACTAGGTGCAATATAAATCGAAAATTAGTCAAATTGGTTGATTACGATACTATACATCTTTAAAATGTATGGTTAGAATGCAAAAATCGTGTTAAATTTTAAGGTGAAATGTTAATCGCAACAACAACTGTAGATATTACCTTTTAAGGGGCACTGTTTAGTATGTGTTAGATTCGGCAGCTTTCCCAACATAAAAAATGCGGAAATAGCATGAAAATTGCTCCTTTGGTTTACTTGGAAACTAAGAAGGTGACCCTAAGAGTGTTAGAGTAAGTGCTTTAATATTTTAACGTTATAGGTGTTCGTGGCATGTACTTTTAGGGAACATAATAGGAAACTGAGAGGTTTTATGGCCACTTTTCTATTAGTTTCCATTAAAAAATACCCTCGAAGACCTGCGAAAGTTTTAAGTGAAGAAGTACGAGGGCTTTTATGTGATTTCTTTCATAGAACGTTGAAAGCCAGCCGTCATACGATATTGTAACTGACAACTGCTTTGTTTGACGTCTCTTCATTTCGACAAAATCCATTTCGGTTGTTAGGTACGTCGACTTTTTCATACGACATTACGTAAGACAGTTACGAGTGCTATAACAGTTTTGAAGGGAAATCGGTTGTATAGAAGGAAATTGTGGAATGTCGCAATTCGGAGAAGGAAAGTTTGAAACTTTAATCCGAGCCTAAAAAGTAAATTCGCGACTGCTTTAATCGTACTGTACACGGATTGATAAAAGGATTACGACAAAGTAAATTTTTTTCACCTCCATTACACGGCCGAATAGTTATCAACTTTATCAACTGTTTTCGGAATTGTAAAACAATGCTCATCACAGAAACAAAGATAGGATTTAAAGATTAGTTTGCGCTTAGTAAAACTAAAGGCAAGCTGTTAATTTATCGCAAAGGAGATTATTATTGTAATGGTTTAAAGTATAGATAATAATAAAACTCAATTAAGAGCTTTACACGGATTATACCACTGGATTTTGTGCGTGTTCTAGCTATGATAGTTGAAAGTAATGACATTTATCTTGACCAACGTTTAACTCCTGTATCAGATCCTGCAGATGTTACCAATATACTGGTAAGCATTGCGTGTGAAAATAATGTTTTTCTTTGTTTATCTTCCTCAAAAGTAGTGATTGCAGAGATGCATTACATTTATGGGTTACAATTACAACACGTAACTGACTGCTTTGTTGTGCCAACTCAGCAAAGAAACCTTTCACGTGTCTTTAAAGATAGCTAGATTATTGATCTAGATTACAAATATTTATCTACATTTTCTTATCTTTAAGCTACATAAAGTTCGCAATAACCCTTAGCAAGCGAATTTATTTGTTTAAAAAATTAGAGCTTTCTAGGAATAAATGTGACAGCTAGATTGATACCTGTACCTAAACGTAAGGGAATTTGGACTGTATGAGGGCGAACTCTGCTTTCAAAGGCGAAAATCGTGTCATGTTAATTTGTATTTTCACTTGGCAGTATTTTTGAAAGATTTTTAGGTAGGGGTCTATTTTTTGTCAAAGGGGTGTTTTGTTAAATACGAGAAATTAACAGAAAAACGGTTGCTGGGGCTTGTTGCTAATTCGCGACGGTTGGAAAAGTGCGTACGTTTCTTTACATTTGTTTTATGTGTTTCGGAATAAATGTTTGTCATTGTCCATCAATTAATTGTGTGTTTATTTGAATCCACTGTGCGACCCCGATAGAGTTTTCGTGCCAGATTTTTCTTTTATGTCTAAGAATTGGTGTTAATGAAAATTAATAGATACTTTGAAATTTTCGGAAATTAATCGAGGTTACTGAGTTTCCCAAAGAACTAATTAAAAGTTAACATTGAGATTTTTGTTTGTGACGGGATGCCGGAGAAAAATAATGGCAGTTCTAAATGTAAAGGTCGTTTTGTTTTGAGTTAGCTCTCGAGTTAGCTGGAGAGAGGTGTTCTGTGAGTGGTGACCGCATGCCTTTTCATACAGTAATATATAGAATTTTTGTCTTCTGTGTATAAATTAATACAAAAAAATAGGTGTATGTATAATTGTGCAATATGTTAAAATCGCATGCCCGATATATTAATTCGAGTTGCTGTGGATATTTACTGTCACTCCATTCAGAGTATTTTTGCCCTGCCAATGGCAACTAGTACTTTTTTATACGTTGCCAATTGCAATGCACTGCCGTCTAAAATGTCAAACTTTTCTGTCATGGAATTAGTTGAGAAATGGCATGTATTATTGACGTTCGAAGAAAAATAAATTTTAGGATTTTTATCCCAACTTCAAAGCTCCGTATCCTGGAACATATTCCGCCAAAGAAAATGATTTTTTTAGTTTTATAAGAGAACAATTTTGTGTCGGATTAACTGTTATAGTGCTAGAAGTAGACATAAAAACAGTCCAAAAATTTCGAGATTTGTTTGGTCCCGTGAACCTATCACAACTTTGTTGAAAAAATGGCACGGAGTACCACTGAACATCACTGAACAACATACCTTGCAGATCTCCAGCAGAGATTCCTTCGCAGTGGAAAATTCTTGTAGGGCCCTAGGGCCAGGTTAGCGTTCTTAGTATGGGCAGTTTCTACGTGATATATAACGCGACTAGATTGTTTACGCGTTCTCAACACATTAACTGTAGCTCCGCTTCCACTAACTTTTTAATGCTTAACAATTTCGCTATTAAAATTCTTACAGATCAACTAAACGCTATCTGCCTGTTTTCTAACTTCCTCTTTCTTATATTGCCGTGTAAGCTTGAAAATGGAACCAACGCAAACTTGATCACTCGCGTCTATAAGGGAATCCAATGAGTGTACAATGTGCGTCAAAAAGATGTACCTTAAATGAAGCTGATTAAAAAAACGTTTGATTCTAAATAACCTTCTGTACTACTATTTCCTTCCTAAATTTAAAATTTTTTATTCATTAGCCCATTACTAACTAACTTATATCAGGAAAAAAATGAGAGCGCAACCTGTCCAAAGAAGAAGTAAGCATGCCTTAAGCCAACTGATTCAAAACAAATTTAATTCTTAATAATTTACTGTAAAAATCTAGTAGATGTGAGTAATTTCATTTTGTGCTTCACCGATTGAGGGAATAGAGGTAGGCGACGAAAAAATTAAATAAGGCTATAATTTACTTAAAAGATATTTTCCTAGAGGGTTAAAGAATGGCCCAATAGGGAACACCCCTATAAATATTTCGTAGCGTCGAGTCGCTCCATTGCAGTGCAGTTCCACCTATATAGTGCGCTTTTACCAGCCTTTCTTGATACGTCTTGACTGATAGAAGCCATATCAAGTGGGCCCAAGTCATTTCATTAATACTGTTTTGAAATTAATGTAGTGTCCGTTTTACAACTGAGCAAAACCCATTTCTGGCAACAAATGGAACCCAAAATTACTCAAAATAAATAGTCAAATAGCTCAAGAAACGTTAAACTGAAGATCGCACTTGTAACAGAAAATGTTCGGCACAAACGGGATTTTTCCTTGGGGTGTGTCACATTCATGTGACCGATCACCTTTCTCAAGGTATTAACACATAAAATTCAGTGTTTTTAAATCAAAATTACAGCAGTACCATTTGTATGCAATGTCCTTCTCCAATGCACCCATGTGCTTGCCCCAGTATTCGAAAACCTCCGCTAACTTTGGAACAGCACATTGTGTGCAGACAACTTAAAAATGATTGGTTAGAACTTAAGCAAATTCAGAAGACAATAGAAAGGCGCCCACCTCACGACGATTGCGCATTAACAATCAACTGGCCGGAATGTTCGACGAATTTATTTGTAGAAAATCGCGTCAACTTGCCATTAGCACACCATTTACGAATGTCATTCAAATCTGATGTTGAAGACACAAAGGGTCCAATGCTGTTTACACGAAAAAGGCTGGCGTTAAAGAAAACTCCTGATTTGCAATGGCAACCCAAATGGTTTAGTGGAAATGCCATGGAAAACGAAGAGACATTGGAGGTGGGTGTAACAGCGGATCTTGCGGGTAATGGTACTTCACGTCGCGAGCGAAGAAAGAAAGACAAGAAGAAATCGGCTTACTTACTCGCGTATGAATTTTCAGATTCGTCAGTAGACGACAGCTGTGAAGATTATGGAGCAATTAATAAATATTGAGAGGTTACATTACGGTGAAATAAAAGTCTCAATAACTCTCCAAGTGGTAAAAAAACTTTGCAGTATACTTCTCAAAAATAACTGATACATTAAACGCGTATAACTTTATTTCTTTCACTCGTCTAAATATCCAATCTACTTGTCGTTCCAACATTAGCGTATTTAAAACTACCGGTTCCTTAATGGAGATAATATTTTCTTTTAGCTGAAAACTATTGCTTTATCTTCACAAATTCAGCGGAATTGCGGAAGTAAACACTTTCTTTTCCTGTAATTTGTCTGCAGGTAAACTGTATCTACATAACCAAGATTGCATTAAAAAAATCTACTCGTGTTATTTTGTCACAGAATACCCCCATTAATGCACCATGTCAGCACAGGAATTTCCTCTGGGATCGCTCGTTTTGTTCGCTAGACCCATCGATAAATAATCACTTTACTGACTTCATGCATCATAAACAATTACTTATAACATTGTTAATATATCTGTAAATTGGGATTAAATTTTTCGGAGTCGTATGAACCCGAGTATGAACCAACAACAATCAAGAATCAATAGCAGAAAATGAACTCTGGAATCCACTTTCCTTTTGCGTACCCTGAAGTGAATATGTAACACATAATAATATAAACCCTTCGTGTAATACTTAAGTTACCACAGTAAATGACGAAAACGCCAGCTAAAGGGATTCTTAACTTATAGGTCCTTCGAAAGAATAAAAAGGACAAGATAAGCGATGAAAGGAATCTCAATATTGCTTGTCATTAAAGGAATACATTATATTTCTAATTACCATAAAACTCCAATTTTCCTTTATTCATACTGTTAATGACGGCCATTATGTTAAACTTAATCCCCTTTTTTCAAAGTTCTCTTTATATTAACTGACAGTTACGTTGTCCACATAATTGATTGTAACACTGCTTCAGCTTCAGCATTTTGTTCATATCGTTATTGCGGAAAAAAAATTGCGTGGGCATTCAGCGATCTTAAAAATTAATAGGAGTTACCCCTACCATTGTAAGTATGATTAATACAGAAATTAGACACTCTATAGTAAATTGTATAGCATGTAAATGCACTACATTCCCAGTCCAAGACTGTTTGAATATTCTTGTGACAGATTTACTGCCTATTTTACGTATTTATCGCTAATAGTATATTAAGCGACAAGTCCCATGAAAATCACCGTATGCATTAGACGATCACGTGTTATATCGAGGTAATCGCCTTATACGTCCTAAAACGCTTCAAAAGGAAATTTGGCATGAGAACTCTTATCTGGGTCGTAATTTGAGCTCGATTAAACACAAAGCTAGTCGTTTACCGATGAGACAAGTTTTTTCGACATAAATCAAGTTGAAATAAATAATGGAGTTCCTTATAGAATGTGGCCTGTAGAATCCATAATTTCAAACAGTTCCAAGATTGGGCTACTAGTTCAAAAGTTACAGCCCTTTGAATTTTCTTTCGAAATTGGTTTCTTTTCTAGTCTATAACTTTTGATTGAGAAGTCTGATCGAAAAAGTACGAATTGTTTTGGATTCTACGCACCAAAATTAATAAGAAAAAGTGTTTTCTCGAGAAATTTTGGTGCAGTCGATCTTTGGTAAAAAAGGAAGGTTATACACTGCCCTTTTTTGAGGCCCTCAAAAAAAATTGTCTCAGATCGACCCGGAAAAAATGTTTCTTATAGAATGTGGCCTGTAGAATCCATAATTTCAAACAGTTCTAAGATTGGGCTACTAGTTCAAAAGTTACAGTCCTTTCAATTTTCTTTCGAAATTGGTTTCTTTTCTAGTCTATAACTTTTTATTGAGAAGTCTGATCGAAAAAGTTGGTTTCTAGTAGGGAATGCAATCCCGCAGCAAAATCTCAATCCGGGTATTTGTGGGATTGTTAGATGTTAATCCCGCGGGATCCCGGAATTTGCGGGATCTCGCAAAACTTTAAGTAAATTAGCAAATAAGCAATTATGTGCGGTTAACTTCTGGATTAAAATAAATCGCTAATTACCTATCACAATATTTAACAAAAAAGTACCTTCGGCCTAACTTAGAACTCAAAAAAACCTTACCTGTAAAGCACAAAAAGTCTTCTAAAGTGCCTCAAAAATCATAGTACATTTTTAACGAAAAAAGTTTAACAATTATTTAAAAAATAATTCGCCGTTGTTATTTTCATTAACAAAGTAAACAGAGTCGTCCCCTTGGTCGACAAATTCCTCAGTCCCGCAAATCCCGCGGGATCCCGCTCCATTTATGTGCGGGATTAATCTCGCAAAAATGCTGCGGGATCCCGCAATCCCGGTATTGCATTCCCTACACGTGCCAATGCTAAGCACGGATACTGCAGATGAGAGAGAAGGGAAATCTAAGAGGGCAAGCTGTCTCTTACGGTTCCGCATGATAAATAGAAATTAAATAGAAAGCACCAATCAGATGCCAAATAACAAAACACCCTGAACTATCCTACTGTACTGCCAATTACTTAAAACCCTAAAACCTCTCCCAGAAGGCATGTGTCAACCGCATAAGTGACAAAATTACCTTAACGTAGTTGTTGATCTCGTAACATGAAATCTTTTCTCATTTCAGTAGATATACTACAATATTGATAATATAGATAACTTAAACAAACTCAGAGAAGCGAAAACTAACCAAAATATAGAAAAAGGTGTATAAATCATTCAGATGGGGAGGAACATTACAAAGCAAGAAATATCTGATCGGAACCGATATGAAAAACGAATAATTACCCAATTTATTGTTGTTTTTGTTGTAAAGCAATACTTCATCTCACATTTAATAACGCGATTAACCCTCAACATATTTTATTAATTTTTATTGCCGCACTAATATTGCTCTCGCTCTTGAATTATATGCTTGCTTTAGTTTAGGTGTAATAAAGCACGTACCGACGTCATCAATTGGAATTGTGGATGCGGCAAAATTGATTTATTATTAATTTGTGTTCGCACTGTCTTTTTACGCTGCCTTCAAAACGAAAATCCGACAGTAAATTGATTGGGAAAAACAATTTTGCTTATTAAAGATGTTTTGTGCTCACTTCGTGTCCTTTTATTTTTACGGAGCCAATTCATTTCGAAGGAAATTACAATTTAGTAACGAAGTGCAAGTAATGATTCAATTCCCGTTCTTTTTACCTGTGTATCCAAGACGCCTTCCGCTTTCTCGGTGTTTTTAATTTATTGATTAATTTTTACTCATCATTAGACGGTCGGAGTTTTCAATTATTCATTGTACTACCGCGCTTCCCAGCTAATGGAATTTTTTGCGGAAACGCGCCAGTCTTTCATTAGTTATTCTTTTCGTAGATGGGAGTTTTCGTACGTCACAACAATCGAGACGGTTTAATCGAATTAGTTTGTACCTACTCTTTGAGATAATAGTAATATATTTGCTTGTTATAAAGTTATAACAGCTGTATAAAGTAAAAGAAATGTGATATGACAAACATCACATAAAAAAATGCGTGATCTAAATACAGGGTGTTTTTTTAAGATGGGCCATACGACAATGTAAAGGCGTTGAGTTATTTAAAATGGGTCATAGGGAAATTTACCTACATTGCATCAATTGTTTCAGTCATAGCTTTCTCACGAATCATCTACCACAGTACTGTAGAAATTGTCAAGTCAAGTTTATTCAAATCAGATATAAACAACAAACAATTGGCGAAATGTAAATTTCCCTATGACTCATTTTAAACTTTACATTGTCTGTTGTCACACACCACACACCTACGGTTATGATGTATGCTAGGTATGTGCTTTCTATGGCCCATCTTAAAAAAAACACCCTGTATAGATATGCAACGATAACTTTGTGTGTGCGAATGTGTGTTTTTGTATTGAAGGGAAATTAATTATTTCATTTTCATACTTATAAATCAAGTTGGTTTCTTTTTATTTAGCTCTAAGAAAAGTAAAGGAGAATTGAGAATTTAAAGTAATCCTCGCGGTTAGATTATGCAATTTTATTTTAGATGTATATATTATATATTATAACAAATAAATATTTATCTTGCGTTACGACGAGTAAATGAAGCAGATCATTGTAATTAAAATATTAGCAAAGAGGTCGAGTTAAGTACGTCTATCGTAACAAAATGTTTTTTTTTTTTTATTAAAGCATCCAGCCTAACTGGCCATACAGCTTGCTGTGGTTATTAGAACAATTTGAATTAAATTTTGAGATCACAACTTAACATGAATTTCAGGATGTATGACATTATTAAGACGTTCGGTTTACCTATAAATGAATTTATATGGAGGGGGAAGGTGATTTTTTATCATGTGCTCGAAGAAGTTTAATAAGTTGTTCTCGCTGTTCATCAAATCTAGGACATTGCCACAAGACATGATTCAGTTCCTCTTCCATGTAGCCGCACTCACAGTTAGGGCTATTCAGAATTTTTATTTTAAATAGTGATTTTTTGAGATTGTAATGGCCAGAGCGGCATCGATTTATAAAGGTAATTAATTTTCTAGGAATGTTAAGGTCCTGAAACCATGGCACTTCCCTCCTGGAATGACATAGCTCAAAATACTGCACTCCCTTGATTTTCCCTAAGTTTTCTATGTAGAAATTATATTCCGCCATTATATTTTTCCTGATTGCTGTAAAAAGATCTAAAGGTGGCACTCTACTGATGTTGGGTTCTAAACAAGTTGCATTTTTAGCAAGTTTATCTACTGCTTCATTTCCAGTAATACCCCTATGCGAGGGTACCCAGAAGAAAAATATGTCCGAGTTGCTCGGGTTACCGCTTTTGAAAGTGTGAATTAATTGTCTGATTTCTAGTATGTAAGGGCTAGTTTTTATCGAAAGACTTGGTTTTTTGAGGGTTTGTAAAATACTAAGCGAATCAGTTATGATTGAGGTATTTCTAGTTTTGTATTTTAAGGCTGTTTTCAATGCTTCAATAATTGCAATGCATTCCGCTGAAAAAATAGACGCGGCCTTGATAATACTTTTAGTACCAGATGTTTGAACGTGAGGAGCAAGAAATGCAGCGCCAACTGAGATTCCTTCTTCTGTTTCGCTACCATCCGTATAAAAATATATGTGATTCTGTTTCCCAT